TGCACGTGATTTCAAAATAATAAATCAAAACCATTTTTCTGCTATGGAGCTGCATAACCAAATCTAGAGATGGTGTTCTATCATCTGATATTATGTATTTTTTTATGGTTTTATGTATTACTTTTACTCTGTCTCTGCAGAAGGTGAAGACTGTTGTTAATCATACTGCTTTATGTTAATAGCTTGATGTCTTTATTGTAGGTACTATGTAGCATTCATAGACACGATAACATAGAGCTGTAAATGCTTTGATAGCAAAAGCAATATATAGTTACCTATGAATGAACATGTCTGATTTCCTCTGACTCAGACAGCAAGCATCCATCGCTGCATCTGGATGAGCTGCACATAAATACCTGCCAGGCAGCACGGTGGCACAGGGTGGGACTGGCAGTAAGCCCTGCTCACCATGAGGACCCATTGCCGTCTTCCAGAGCGGTGCCTGCTGTGGGGCTTGGCCTGCTGAGCCAGGAATGGGTGTGTGGAAGGAAGAGCATCTGGTCATGTCGAGGCTGACTTGTGCTTAACCACAGCTTTGCACTGCATTTGTGCTGCAAACTTCATCAGAATGTTTCTCTGAAATGTATTTATCAGTAGGTTAAAACTTTTCCGCTGTTGTACTTCCATTGTTTCTTTTGGAATCTGCAGATGTGGGGCAGTCAGTTCAGACGGTAGGAAATCTGAGTGGGCAGGCAGGAGACCAGCCAGCTGAGCACCCTAATTAACAGGAATGTGTAATTAAAATGCAGGCAGATGTGGCTTGGGCAGGTGGTATTTCCTGGAAGCATTTACAGTGCTCTGTGGAAATGTAAATGTGATGGATACAAATAGATACGCTACCTGCTACTGTGAAAAAAGCTTGTGCATATGCTGAGCAGTCAGTGGGTGTGAGTGCTGAGCGCTCGCTTGTCCAGCACTTCCAAAGTAGCAATGTCTCAGCTCATGCTGGACTGAAATGAGTTCTGCACTCCTGAGCATGTGTAAACATCTTGAAAACTCTGCATGGACCACATTTGTGGGTAGAAAAAAGACACGTGCACGGAAGTCTATAAATATAATAATCCCATATCGTGTTTCTTACATTTGTTTTTAATTATCTGCCACCAACTACCATTGTAAACAGTATATTGGCCTACATAACACTTTAATGTGGTTAATTAAAAATGCTGTCTGGCAAATTTGTTGTGACCTCCAAACTTTGGGAAGAGCTACCCAGCTGAAAATTCCAAAATTGTATATATTTTTTCACTAGCTATTTAAACACTGATTTCTGTGAATTTGTGGAGACAAAAAAGTAAAAATTAAGCATTAAAAATTGAGAAAATAAAAATTGGATGTATTTCTAACTGTGCAGAAATGGAACTCAGGTTATTAATTTTTGTACGGCAGCAAACACTGGCCAGTTTCCCCTCTCATTTCATTACAGACATTAAATCTTCAAAGAAAATGAAAGAAAAACACAAAGCTATTCACACTTGAGAGAGAATTCTGTCCCTGGATATTCAAAATTAAATCCATAGAACTATTGCAGTTTCAGATTTGGTTCTGTGGTTGTTTCATTTGTTTGTAACTGTTTAATACCATTACCTGGTAAGGAATTGTGGTGCTGTTATTTCATCTTTTGATTCCTTACAGTGCCTTTTGTAAGTTCTCAGTACCTTTTGAAGAGTATTTTGCAGTGTTCTACTATTAAGCAGCAGCAGCAGCAAGCAGCTGGCCTTTCTGCATTACCTTCTTTCCTTCTTTCCTTTTCTTTTAGGGAGCTGTGTCCAAAGAAATGATTTTGTGGCTAACAAATGACTTTCCACTAAGCTGCTTCAACTCTGTGTTTCCTGTGGTTGCCAATTTTAAAATGAAATTTCTTTATTTTATTTTGTGTGCATGCACATATGTTCGTTCCTTTATGTCTTATAATCATCTCTTAAATCTTGATCTTACAAAGGAAGTCTATGAGTGTGTCTTCAGAAACATTACCTTGGTCTTTTCACCATATCCATGTGGGAAAACTTTGTTGTAGGTAAAATGGTGCATCTTTTCAGAGTTTTAAGTCCAGTTATGTTCGCTTTTTTCAGTTCACAAATGGAAAGTATTTGAGATGGAGCAGAGTGTGCATGGAAACGAGTGTATTTTGATCTGTGTTAGTTCAGTATTTGAGTCACATCTGATCTATATTAGAAAGCAAACAAAATTAATTTTTGTAAATCCCTTTGAAAGCATCAGATTAAGGCTCAGTAATATTTTGACTGTTATTGTTATACTTATTAATATTGATTCTAACTTGAGACCAAATCCTGCATTTTTGGTGGCTCCACTTCAATAAATTATGCAGATTTACAGCAACTCAAGATGTGACCGTTATGTTTGTGGTATTCACATTGACTGAAGCTGGACAAGTAGCTGAATAGGTTGTTTTAATGTAAGGGAATACAAAAATTTGGCAGAGGTTATTAGAGGTCATAATGTAAATGGAAATTGGCAATTGCATTGCTATTGATTCCTACTGAGTATGCTGCTGAGTGCAGAAGTGAGAAGCACGATCATCCGCAGTTCATTTCCACAGTGTAAGTCTTACTGCTATGAATCTTAATGCTCTGGCAGCTGTTAGAAGTACATTATGGGACATGTAGAGTGACTGCAGTAGTACATGTGAAACGAAGCAGTTTTTTTTAACAGCTGGGATGGGGCTGTCAGAATTTTTTTTTTGTATGGTTATACTTGTTAGCCAACTAGCATGTGACAAAAAATAATTGGTTAAAATACTTGTGAATTGAAGTCTGTGCAGTCAGAAAATTATATCAAGGATAAGTGCAGGTCAGTCATTGTAAGAAATCTAAAAAAGTAAAAGCCTTTGGCATTGTGTTTCTGGTTATGAAAGCAGCCTAATATGTGCTGATTTATTTTAATGTAAGGTTTTCTCATAATTTGCAATTTGATTTTAATATGCTATAATGAAATTATGGAGTAAGTAGTCAGTATGCTCATTTCTTTAACCTAATCAGATGTGTTGTCACAAAAGTTTCAAAGACATGCTTATTCTGTTATGAAGTAGAAAGTAACTTCTATTATTAAAGGAGAAATTTGATTACTGTATCTTTGTCTTTTTTTTAATGTTTAATTACTTTTATTGAAACTGAGTCCTTCTTCTTGCACTGTGTCCTGACCTTATTGGCCTGGGATAAGTTTCACATGGGCATTTATTCTATTAATATTTCCATTTCCCACATCATGGGAAACGTGGATGTTCTGTTAATGGCAGTGTTAATCAAACAACTTTCTATATCTCTGCTGTGCCCAAGTTTATGACATTACAATGGCAGGCACAGGAGATGAAATTGAAACCTTACAATATATATTACAAATTGAATTACCTTCTCCATTTTGTGTAGGTTGCTTGAAGACTTATTTTAGATAATTGAAAAAGATTAACACAGTGAGAATAACCTTTGACAGCTATTCCTTCTGACAGGATCTCTGAAGTTTTAACATAAGTCCAGCATTCTTGTAAAGATTTTGAACTTTGGATGCTGCTAACCTTGTTACTGTGATGCAGGCTGTGTTACAATATAAATCTTTCAAAAGAGCCTTAAAAAAAAAAAAATCCATTTTATATTGGCATGCTTATTCAACTTCAATTTTACTCTAATGTTCTTTTGTAAAGGCCTGTTGAGCTGTGAATTTTGTTGGGTAGGGAAGGAAGTCCCTGGAACGGCAGTAAATCCTACGCATTCCATGGCGGCAGTCTCTGGACATTTGATGCCCTGCCTGCCTGCAGCTCCTGGCTTGCCCAGAGATGCCCAAAAATGCAGATGTGTAATTGGTGCAATTCTCAAGTATCTATTGCCTGCAGGAATGGTTTTAAGGTTGCTACACGTTATTCAGCCTTTGCTTCTGATGTGTGCAAGATCACTGCAAGATCATTTTCAAGGATCTACTAAAGACTGCGAAGCATCTAACTATCTTGAAAACTGGCCTTTCTGTGAAATTTGTGAGCAAGAGTTTCAGGCAATGTTGGTATTTCTGTGCTTTAAAGTTAATACTTCTGTTATCCCTAGTCTTATGTCTCAGTCTTGACATCTTCAGACCTACTGCATAAATGAGAAAATCCTCAAACTCAAAAAATATTCCCTGCGTTTCTTTGTACTGCTTTTATACTATTTGAATAATGCTGCTTTTTACTTGTGACCTACTTTTCTTACATAACTATGTATCTACAAAACTATATTCTGTAAAGTTATCCTTAAAATGTGTTCTCTACACCTGTGATCTTCTGGCATTTGCTGGGAAGAAGGTGGCCCTTCTGTGCTGTCACCATTTTTATTCTATAGCCTGCCTGGTGGCAGGTGTCGAACAGTAATACGAACCCAGTGATATAAGCCCAAACAAGCTCACCTGAAGTCCCTGTTGGGTCCATCTGGCCAAAACTGCCAAAATGATTTTCAAGCTTGAGTCGAACGCTTGCCAAGCTGTTGGCTGAAGCAATCCTTCAATGTAGGTAGTAGGGATGACGAACACCTTCCTACAACTAAAACAGTATTTGGGGAAACAATGCTATTCTGCTTAGAAAATTTGCTTTACTTGATGAATTTAAGACAAACATATAATTAATTTTCAGCACCACTTCCTAAAGTTCCTGAAATATTGCTTCAGATTGTGTTCATTTCCTTTGTGTGTTTGGTTAAGTTGATGCTTTATCAGAAACTTGGTCAGCTCTATAGAAATGAATTTTGAAACAATTGCTGTCATAATTTCTACTTATTCTTTGCATTTCAATGTAGTGTTTCTTATATAGCTTTTCTATATATTTTTTTCTTTTTAAGAAAGTGTTTGCTTTTGCCTTGTAACTGGTAAGAATTATTTGCGAAGACAGTGACGTATGATATCATTTTTTAAATCTGTATTTAATGATCTTTCATAAATCCCATGTTTCATTCAGAGAACATTATAGATGGTGCAGGTCTCGGTGGGAAGAGATCTTAAATTGCTTGCTTGTTTTTCTCCAGAGATTTGTTACAATCCCCTAGAGAAGATGATGTAGACGCTGCAATGAAAATTTTGCTTCAGTGGACTTCTCATGGCCTTGAAGATGTCCGGCTGGTAAATTACTCTGTTTTGCTCGACCTACCAGGCTCTTCTTCAAACACAATAACTCTGAAAAACAGTGGTGAATGTTTTTATCCTGATGGACAGCAGTGCAGCAAAGTGACCAAAACACTTCTTAGCCAAGACCTCCTGTACTCATATGCGGCTTACTCTGCCAAAGGAACTCTTGAGGTAATGTGTCTATTTGTCTCTGTCATTTGTGTTGGAATAGTTACAAAACACCAGTTTCCATTGAACTTGGCTGGAAAAAGTAAGCATGGTGAATTGCCCAGCCTTAAGATAATCCAATATATGCTGTTGAAATATGATGTGGCTCAAATCTGAAGTCAAATGTTAAAAATTAGTCAGACCTGAGGACTTGATGTGATTTATTTTTTTTTTAATTATTACTTATTTTTTAAATAAGTATCTGAGTTAATGTATTGTCATCTGTTGCTTGGGTGCAAAAAGCCTGCGGGCTATATCTGATCTTTGTTGATCACACAATCGCAGAATCGTAGGGGCTGGAAGGGACCTCTAGAGATCATCGAGACCACACCCCTACAGCAGTCCGATACATAAGTGCTACTGGTTTGAGGCATGTCAGTAGGAAGGTTAAGCTGAGTTTCTCTGCAGTGAGATCTGCTGGAGTACTAGTTCAATTCCTGGAGTTCCTGACTTATTGTCATAGGTCCTGCATAATTTCTTCTGTGGCAACTCCGTTGATGCATCTGCTCTGTTTTGCCTTGAAGATCACAGTTCGTATTTTTATCTTCTTTCGTTAGGAAGTTTTGTCAGACAAAAAATATGCTGCCAGCTGGGATTAGTTACTTGCTGAGTAAAATAAGATCTTGAATTACCTCATTCTATCCTGTTCACTGGCTGCCTTCATATATTTGCTTTTCAGATCTGTTTGGGCTATACAGAGTGGTCATCATTTGTTTACTTTCCTCTTACTTAGTATAAATCTCAATATATATTTCTGAAACGTGAAAATTTCAATGTAAATTTTACTGCTAACTGCATAGCTATTGTACTTTTGTCTTTTTCCTTTTTAAAATATCGTACATTTACCTCTAGTGATGCAGGGAACTTTGCTTTTCTTTCTTTTACTGTTTATAAGTTCATTCTCATGACAGAATGGTGTTAGTAGTGTATGTGTAAGAACAGACATTGAGTTTGGGAGATACCTCTTCCAAAATACCTTTGTTCTATTTATATTTAAAATATATATTTATAGCATAGCAGTTACTGAATTTCGAGTAATAAAATGCAACCATTGTGTATTTTGTTTTAGACACTGTGCATCGTGTTTATTCGTTACACGTAATGTATTGTGGAAACCTTCTGAGTCAAAGTGATGGCAGTTCCATCATATGCCCAGTAGCCCATCTTACTATGAGCATCATTTTGAAATTTGGACATTGAGAAATCCGAGGGCTGGTAGAATTTCAGATCCATCAGTTTCTCATCCTGCTTGAAATTCTCTTTCTAGAAAGCATCAAAAGTTTTTATTCCAAAGGATTGTCTCCTTTGGGAGAAGACTTCTGTCCATCTCTTGTTTTATTTATTTATTTTAATATACCTTATATGCCTGTTTTCCAGGTTTAGTTTCACACTCGTTATGTCCTGGGATTGTATCAGTAAAACTCCTAAAGAACTGTAACTTCATATTGAAGTTTTTGATGTTATGAAGTGAAATGAATTAAACCAAGAGAAGTCTTGCACCCTATACTCTTCAGCTTTTCTGTAGGCAAGTACTATAGACAAAAAATACTAATGAACAGACTTGGCTTACCACATTTATCACTTAGAAACTCAATACATAATATATTTTCTCATAACCTAATAAGAGTAAGTGTAATGAGGTAAAAGTACAGTTGTGGCCTTTGAGATTTCCTTCATGAAAATAAATGTGTTGCTAACAAATTCATCAGATTAAAGGAAATCGAATGTACCAGGGAAAATCTTTGATGTTATTACCAGAAACACATGTACCACTTTGGGTTATATTTCAGGACACTTTTCTCCGTAATTGAATTCTGAAGAAATGAGGTCTAAGTACACTGCCTATGTACTCATCTATAAGAGTGTGCCTTGGCTTTGACAAAACCTATCAAAGCTTGTGTTTGAGCCAAAGGATGGCTCACTGTGTGTAATTCCACAGTCAGCGCTTTGAGATACTTGACACTCTCACAGAACTTCAGATGTTTTCTGTTTTCTTATGAAAGTCTATCCTGAATGCTTTTAAATCAAATTTTGCCTAAAAGGGAAATTTCCCCACTTGTTTAGGCTATGGAGAAATTGGTAGCAATCTAACCTTTCTAACTTTCAATCCTATGGAATGATCTACGCTATTTAAGATAATGGGGTAGAAAAAACTTTGAGAAATAATAAGTGGTGGCTGTTGCTGGGTTTGGCAATCAGAGAGTGAGTTGATTGCTTGCAGTAGAACTACAAATTGTGTATTGCAGTTGGTTGTGATTGCTAAATCATGAGGGTTTTCCTGTGAAAGGATATTCTAGTTACAGCCACTCATAATCTGAATAATTTTCTTTCAAATGTGACACATCTTTAGTAGAGAGCTTCTATTATATGTCACGTAATCAGGTTGAATTGCTAACATTGCTTGAATGCTGCTGCTCCATTGTATCTCATTTGTGTATTTAGTGTGCTGGAAGTTCAAACAAATAAAACCATTAGTTCATTGCAGTCTGTCTAGAAGCAGAGCTATAGCTCTACCTGCATGTTGACAAGGTTATTTGTAGAATAGCAGGACTCATTTTCTTTGACGACCTGTCATGTCCATTCATTATATGGCCGTTGTATATGAGCTGTCCAATTTGTGCTTTCTGGTAACAGTCTAAACAGCATTTGTGATATCTGAAATCTACTTCAAAAACCTACTCAGTGCCATTGTGATGGATGGTGCACTTTACTGCTTCTCTATAATTCATTGGGCCCTGAAAAGGTGACACTGTTTACCCATCATGGTGACAGGCAGGGCAGCCTGCAGTTGTGGAGAGAGCTGTCTTGTCAGCTCTGAAATAGATATTGCAGAGGTTATGTAAATAATATACCACAGACCAGGTCAGTCTAAGAAAAAGAATGTGAAATATATTTTTATTAAAACTTTAATGTCAGCCGCATTTATAGAGTTTAAACCTTTTATCTGCTTAATGAAAATGGAAAAGCCTCTTTGGCCAACATTGTGTATAAAGGGAAATCACGTCGCATTGAATTTATGCATTTGGAGCAAAATGTGTTGTCAGACTGTATCTAGCCAGCCTCTGAGTGAGTGTGTTGTGGTGAATCACAACGTGCCATTCTGTGCTCTCACGTCATAGGATTGCCTGAGAGCTGTGGCTTCAGGCTGTCCCTGGGGAGTGGGGACGAGCAGGGAGCTGCTGCTGAGCTCTGAGGAGAGGTGCCAGGGGAACTGCTAAGAGGTGTGCTCCTTCTGTTGCTGAATGTGTAAAGATGTGTTAGGGTGGCTGCACCTCCATAACCAACCTGCAGCAGTGATCTCCAGAGGGTGGTCTGAGTGCACAGGTGGAATGTGATGTTCATCTGCTCTATTCCATGTAGGACTGCACCAACTCCCTGTTAGGTCCTTTGCTGTTCTGTGTGGAGAGTCCTTAAAATGGGCATTCCAAGAGGCAGGTTTCTGAGAGGTCTACGGATAGAAGCAAAGTCGTTCCTGTCTCCAAGGCAGTGCCCATCCATACCCGTTTGCAAGTCAGCCTTGCTGCCATCCACATTCCCTGGCTGCTTGCACTTCTCTGCCTCTTCTCCCTTCCAAAAATGATGACCCATTTCTCTCTTCCAAGGGTCTGCTGATATTAGGCAATTTTATTCCCAACTCAACCAGCAGTATTTTTGATTAGTTTTGAAGGGGCTGCAAGGAGTAGAGAAGTAAGAATGCCGACTGTTTGCCTCTGTAACTGCAATATGCAGAAGAGTTTCTCTACATCTGTTGATAGTATTTTAGCCTGCTCTGGTTCATTTGTTTCAGTGACATTTTCTCAGCTAAATGAGAACCCAATATGAGATTAATGCAACCTGAAACAATGAGAGAGGTTCAGACCCATCTGTTAAGCTCAGTTAGTAGCAATTTTGCCATTCTTCAATCCTTGCATGGCAGGAATGAAGGAAGCACTGTGCACATTCCTGACGGGTCTTGCATGAGGAAAAGGGTTTGCTCAGTGCAGCAGACACCCCATTCTCCCATGTCTGGGCTGAGATGCCTTCTCTGCCCATCCATCCCTTTTCTGCATCCAGAAAGGTGTCAGCCTTTCTCTCCTTGACTGCTGATCCCCCTGCTCTTAGCCACTAATTGCTGTGTCCCCACTGCGTGCCTTACAGTCTCCTTCTCTACGTTGTTAGTAGCACTTTGCAAGCACTCTTCTGTTTCCTTGCAGAATTTAAGTTTCTCTGTATTTCTAGTTCTGTACAAAAAAAAAAAAAAAAGTCTTGAGTTCCTTGGGAGGGATTGTGCATCAAGAATTCCTTGACCCAAAAGTTTTCTTTCATTTGATTTGATTATTTTCCGTACTGAAAACATTAGTGCACCCTTATCTTTTGTCTTCCCTCTAGCTGATCAGTGGTAATTTCCTTAACAGTATTTCTGAATTAACACTTGGGTTTGAATATCTTTTAAATATTCCCAGTGTATTTTTATCCCCAGGCAAAATTTCCAAATGAGCCTTCAGCAGCATGCTCACTTGCACATCTTGAATTCCAAAAGCAGAGTGCATGTAATTCAGCTTAAATAATCACAGCATCTCACCCTAAGTCTTTCAGTCGTTTTTGATGGTACACTGGTGCAAAATATCAAGCTGGGGGAATCTTCATACATCTGTACATCTAATTCCTTTAGGCATGCCAATTTAGTTCATTATTATCTTTATTAACATTTTCTAAAATTTCTTCTCTGAAGAGACATGTACTAGCTAAAATGAATCCTTAGCAACTGCAATCAGTTTGCAGATGGCAAGGGCTATAGGTTGAGTAACACATACACAAATGAGAAAAATCATGCAATTTTGTTAACATTTAGATATTTTGGAGGAACCTTATTTATCCTTTATTTATAGAAGAGTTTTTTTCAGAAGCCTTTTCCTCAAATAATCATAATTTAGACCACTGTTCTGCATGCTAAGTAGGCACAGCAAATTTTTCAAGACAATTTC